GTCCTGAACCGTCACCTCGAGAAGGGTTGAAGATAAAAGGCAGTATTTTTTGTTCTGATTGTTGTGACGGTTGTGAAAGACTCCCGAATTGCGTTCAAACCCAACGACTCCTAAACCCCTTAACTACGGTCATAGGAAGGACTCCTCAGTTTAGGGTATACTCCTTCGTCAAAGGGCTTGCTGACTTGTTGAATCTCTTGTAGCCTCACGAACCCGTAGCTTGCCCACACCCTCAATGAAGGCTAAAGCCTAACGCCTACAGATAACCTCTAAAACCTGAAGACCTTGAAACCTGATCTTTTGCAACCAGCAAAACTAAACACTGAAACCCAGGCCAATGTGCGAGGCTGCGCCGATTAGGGTTTCGCGATTTTGAAGTAAGAAGTATGAGACTGAAGGGGTGTTGTTCACGATAGCTAACAGTATTCTGGAGTTTATGCTAGAACAACATGTATTCGGAATAAAGGAATCATCTTACCAAATTTCAGGCCCACAATGAAGCTCTATCCAAACTTAAAACCCCAAACGCTGAACCCTAAACCCTAAACCGAGACTGTACACCCTAAGCCCTACCTAGACCCCCAACTACCCTCTAATATACCCCAAAGACCCTTTTCAAGGACCATAAGGGTTCTATGAAAGACTGATCTTGAATGTCTTATAGGCACCAGATCACTAGACCCGGCACCCCACAGTGCCATACATCGTGAACCGTTTAAGCTCTGCTCGACATCCCTGCTTGAAGATAGTGCTTGACATTCGCTGCTTGGGCTTATCAAGTTTCTTGTACAGGTTGCTCTACTGTCCGGGCCTTGAAAACTAACACAGGGTTTGGGGGTATATTATACTATTAAGAAGGCCTCTACATGATGAGATTTGGGGCTCCAGGGATGTACCTGGGCTTCGAATTTACCAAGGAGAACCAAACATGAGCTTTTGTTTCACAAAGGCTCCTTTTGAGGAACAGGTCCCCTAATTGAGTACGGTACTCCAATATCTGATTATAGGAGCCTTAACAGGCAAACCCGAGTGATAACCACGTATAGCCCCAGTTAGAATACTTTTATCCTTACCTACTAAGTCCTATGATGCACCAAGTAGGGTTCTCCCTAAACCTCAAACATGGAGGTCTTTCGGGTTTCAAGCCCTTGTTTGGCCTGTGTACCCGAAACCCTAAACCTCTTCATCGTATCAAAAAGCGCAGAACTGCCTTCTACAAGGTAGATGCTGAAGGGGCAATAAGAACATGCACACCTCGCGTCACATACAGTGTTCAAAGCTAACATATGGCCACCTCTACAACAACCACATCAGCAGGTGAGTCCTCATGCAGCATCAACGTCATTGCAGTCTAACGTCTAAAGCTAAAACCTCGAACTGTAAATTGAAACCTACACTTCTGGCCCCATTGCGTGCTTAACCCAAACCTTGAACACCGAATGTCTGAAGGCCTTACGACTCTGCACCGGCCTTTTGTGGCTTCGGGAGCTGGCGGCACTCGCCAGTGCAGACGCATGGTGGACCATCTTTACTGGTCAAACACCATGAACCCTAAGTTGCCTGAAGTACATGTTCGACACCCTTCTAAACGCGCCTAAGCCCTAAACCCCACGGAACCCTTAAATACGGAAACGGCCCCAATCCGCGCAAGTACCATCTAAATGGGGGTTCACTGCTGTACATCTGCCCGCTACCCGCAACCGGTAGGCTGCTCTCTCCCACAAATATAGGGGGGATAGCTCGTTTGCAGGGTTCCCTAAAAGGTGTCTATAAGGGTGAGGTACCATAAGCATTTAGTATAATAAAGTATAGAGGCCGCCTTAACTGAAATCAGATTTTGTGATCTACTATACTACAAGAAGATGAAGGAATCCTGAGCAATAGTTTTGGCATCTGTTTGTCCCCTTGGTCTGACCAGTTTCCAAAGCGTACGTACGGCTAACCTTTAGGACTAATTCTGGCCCCGTGTTTGCTTCATGTTACATCAGCACCCTACAGCGTTCCACATTGGGACAGCGGGAGCGTGGCATGTAGGAGCTCAAGCACTACTTGCGGTCTTTGGGGTTATTATTTTGAGTCTTGGTTGACCCCAGACAGGCCCTGGAGATGCGAACCCTAAAACACTAAACATCGAACGCCCTCAAGCCTCAATTCCGGCTTTACCGGAGCTTCATTCAGCGTCTTGATCGTCACCATGCGGCCTCGCAAGGAAAGGAAGGGCGTGTCACTCGTTACATCATAGATCTCACCATATGCCACTCTACAAAAGAATGCAAAATACTCTAAACCCAGCCGTACATACCTAGATAATACACTAAATTATGCTGTGCCCTCGGCCGGTTACTTCCAAATGCCCAGTGCGACTACTTTGCAAAAACACCAAGAGTTGTAAAGTTGGGATTGGAACCACCAAGCTTATGCCTTAAGCCTTAAACCAATGAAGATCTCCGGGGTTCGGGGTTTGAGGGTGGGCTTGCGTGGCTGACGATCCTAACTGGGGCTCGGCTTGACGGCTTTGCGGGACATCGCTTTTGCTTGCTAGGTGTTTAGGCGTTAGGCTTTAGGGCCTGTGGCTGAGGATGGTTTTGAAGATATTCGGTTTTCATGGGGCGTGGTCTCGCTTTACTTTGGTGTGATGCAGTAATTAGAGCTGCGCAAAGAAAAAGAAAAATAAATAAAATCCTGCGGAGCTTAAAGATCTGCAAAACAAATCAAAAGTCCCTGTCAAGTATTGTGTAAGGCTAGTTTTATTAGTAAATACATGCAATGTCTACAGTCTTCTTTGATTTTAAGTACTAGGCTTATAAGGTAGGAGAATAAAGTTATTGGTGTCCCGAAGATGACACCCGTAAAGATACGTATAATACGTGTACATACACGCTACCCTAAACCCTAAACCCAACATATGTACGCACCTCCCAATATGCATATAAAATGGGGGTAGAATGAAAGGTGTCGATTTCGGATCTAGGCCTCAGGGTTAGGGATCTCTATCTAAAGTCTCATACCCTAGCCCTTTTTTTAGGGTACCTGCTTTTCTATATAACAGGTCCAAACCAGAAACCTAGGTACGTTATCACAAAGGTAGGGTATGGGCCTTTAGATAGGGTTGTAAGGTCAAAGTGAATATGCTTAGGGTTTGGTGTCTCGGTATTTCACGTGCTAAACCCGAAACCCAACCTCCTGTTCTGTGTTTTGCAAAGGGCGCCGCTAACACAATCAGCTTCTATACTGTGTATCGGTGAACCACCCAAAGCTGCAGCAAGCATGGCGCTGCTTTTCAAGATTTAGGGCTTATGGGCATTGCTGCGGTTTAAGCCCTCCCTGAATGGAGAACATATTGCGGATGCGGCGCTTATGGCCCATGCTGCCCATGGCACTCTTAGCGTTCCCGCTAACTTATCCTGCTTATTCGGCTACACTCAGACAGCTAGTTGAAGGAAAACATGTGTCAACAAAGACTAAAACTCAAAACATCTAATCTAGTGGACATGACAGGAACGAAAGCATAACCTTTGGGTTAGCAGGAGTGTTGACTTCAGCTGCATGTTCTGAGTGCAACAACCCCATCGGGTCGGACCATTTCTCCCTAAACCCTCAAAACTCCAAGCCCTACCTTGATCGTCTTCTGTTTTCTTTCGGATTTTTGCGGCTCAGGTTCGTGTTAGGGGTTTCTTCGAGCTGGTGGTATTTTTGCTTTGGGTCTTGGCATGGTTTCTGGTTTCTTTCGCTGGGGCCCACTCCCTAAAAGGAACAATGACACATGACAAATAGCGGCAAACTGATATGTTTTTTTTAAGGTTTAAGCACGCTGATTCGGGGCTACGGCTTTGGCTTCTAGCGGTCTGAAGAGTAGGATTCTAAACCTAAACTCCAAACCCAAAACCTTAAAGGCCAAACCCTGAGCCCAAATAACACGTAGAACTCGTATACCCTAGAGCCCAAGCAACCCTTATCCAGTATCCATCGGACAACGAGGGCCCAGCCAAACCCAGAAACGATAACAAACGAACGATAACAAACAACCGGCACATAAGTTATTCCACTGTTACAACGCGTAGTACAAACTCCGTTCATGGGTTCTGCGTTTTCAGAATCCTAAGCCCCAAGATCCTAAACCTACCTCTCTGTAAAAAGGGTAGAGCACGTCGATCGTCTGGCCTGAGCTTGGCACGCGGCAGAAGGCATTGCTCCTGAACACAAGTCATGCCGAACAAGGTCTCGGGGATTGGGGTCGAGAGTTTGGTCTGACGGTATGTGGCCTCTGTGTGCAGTACGGCGTCCGTGGTGCGCACTGTCATGGGTTTCCAGATTCGGGAATGATGACCAAGGGCTGAAGGACATCACTTAGCCAGAGAAAATTTCGGAGGTTGGGGATTTGCGTGGGTTTAACGCTCGGATCAAACGGGTTGGGGTACAAGCAACTCGAAAAAATGTACAAACCTGTGCACTGTCGGAAACACTCTGAGAGAGCAGTGCAAGGTGTGTTGTCATTGTGTGACCACGTGGCTGCCATGGTTGCTGCCGTTGCGCTATATTGATGAAAGAAATGCGCCTCTCGGCCCTCAAGCCCGCAGTCCTACAACGCCGAACTCCTGAACTTTTGAGCTTCGCTTTCCTGCCACGAACCCCAAACCATCCTTGCAGGCTTCAGCCGGAGGCTCAGCAGACGTGGGTCGGAAATCCACACCTGCTCTATGGGTCTTCTACATGACTGTTTCATGCTCGAATATCAACAGATAACAAAAGAGTCCAGGCAAAAGGTAGCTCAGGTCATGCAGGATTCCAACATCAACCGTAATAACAACATACGCCCAAAGACGGACAGGGAGAGCCGCTTGGCCTTTTGGTGCCCTCCTGCCAGCCACCCTGACACTCTTAGTCCTGTTTATAGTAGTATCGGCGCGAGAACCCCTACGTCACCCAACACACTGCAAAAGCCCAGACTGTGGAAGTGCAGCTTAGCAGCGCCATGCTGGATTCAGTAGAACACCACGTCGTCAGGCCTCTGCCAATTCTCCACCCACCCCATCCACGGTTTAACGGACAACGTTGGAAGCATTTGGTTGGGTCCAGACTCATGCATCCAGTTTAGAGTGTATGAACACCAATTACCCCGTAGCATACATGCAAAATTCACCTGTTCTGTCTGGGCGCTGACAACACAGCAAGACTACCAACTGCAACTGACTAGGTTAACATAGTACTTCTATAACCCTGTTTTGGTGGTTCTGGCTGGGTTTTGGAAACTAATTCTTTCGGGAGTTAATCTGTCAGTTGTTTTCGCTTTGAACCTGTCAGTAATCTGCGATCAACTGTCTCGAGGCTTTTCCAATTGTGAACTTCTTGTGCGATTTGTGTGAGCACATTTCTCTCCGTCTCACGCAATAATGGAGGGCAGAGGCACGGGGCGAGCAGGCGCGAGTGCGGGCAGGTCCGGCGGGCGGGTTTTGTTATCGTGATATGTGCAACGGGTGGCGTCATATGGTGTTGCGGTTGTTCACACGGCTTGGGATCTCAATGTTGTACTTCCTGGAATTGCATATGCTCAGTTGCAGTCGGCTGAAAGATGATGGTCATGATCGTGCTCTTAGCGAATACCTGGAGTGGCAACTCTCACGGTTGCAAAAGACAGTAGCGCGACCAGCCACACCAAGTGCAGGAGCATGCCAGAACCACAAAGAACAATACCTCTTGCTACGGCCATACTTCACTGCTTTTTGATCCTGTTGCTTAATACTCCTCCACACTTTGGTGCAACCGCTTGTTTCTTATTGCGGATCGTAATACCCATAGTTTTTGGGCCTTCTCAACGCATGGGCTATATCGATACCGTTGCTTTGGCTGCAGCTGCAGCTGTTCTTTCCTATTGTGACTGCTGTTATCCGTGCTGCTACGCTCACTCGTACCACTGTACTTGTACTGACACTGGCTATTGCGAACTTCAACCATCAGGTTAAACATGATTCCGACCGTTGTTGCAACAAGCATGGCTACTTTCCTCAGATTACAGCTTCTTGCTTCGAGGTGTGTCGTGTCTCATTACAGAAAAGAAAGTAGAACCATGTGCTACTCTTTGTACAAACAAGGTTTTCCATACAAAATCGGCGGTCTTAGGAGAGGATGCTGCAGAATCACCCATTTCTAAAGGTTAGGTCCATGCTGCCCAGTTTCCAAAGTAGGTGCGGCCTTCGATGATCCGGTTCGGGGCAACGTGATCTCTCACAAAAGTGTCCGTGAACCTGGCAGGGTGCACAGTTTGTGTACACCACATCTTCTATCCCCAGGTTATACCTTTCAATTACCAGTTGGCCCTGCGTGGGCCTCTCAGGCTAGCCTGGAGTTTGGGGACTGTCGGCACACGTAGGAAATCCAAAAGTGGTGCTCAGGGCCGCTCAGAGAACCAGAGTCCATCTGCGAAGCGGGGGGGCGGGGTGGGGCGGGGGGGGACGAAACACGTGGTGTGAACAGAACATGGAAACCACAACCTGACTCCGAGCCTGCGGATCCGGGTGCGGCATGGACTCCTGGTCGCGCAGCGCTTCCAGGAGCCATTCCTGGTCAGGAAGTTGCGGGAAGGATCAGGGCCTGGACTTAGGGCGTTTTACGGCTGCAGGCCTGAAGGTCTGGGGTTTGGTTGCAAGCTCGGGAGCTTGAGTTAAACATGCTGTTAGGTGTTGGTATAGTTAGTGCAGCGGAGTTGCGATCTCGGAGTCCACTCGCCAAGGGCGAAACTCCACCTGAGGCCACTGCCCCGTACTATCTGGCCCCTCCGAATGAGCCACTCAGAGCTTACTAAGCAGACCTGCATGCAAGCGATGGAATCAACACGCATCGAATCTCAAAGTACGGAGGCTTACTTCCCAAATACCCATGGATCAAAAGTTTAAACTGTCAGAATAAGACTAATTTGTAAGCTATCAAGCCTGTTTTGGACCACTACTGAAGTGCAGGTATACAAGAATCTGGCGCACCACCACGCCTCTGTTGAAGCCTAAGCCTAACCCTGCCAACCAAGAGCATTGTGCGACTTTCCCAACCCCTGATCCGTGGATGCAACCTACAACCCAAAAGGACCCTCAGAAATATAGGGGCCGCAATACTTACAAAAAGAATTTGGGGGTTTGTTGTTGTGTATTCCCTCAGGAGCCCTACACAATCATATTACTAATTGGCCCTCCTCTGTGACAGCTAACGACCTCGACATGATGCTTATGGTGATTCCGCCCTAGCCCTAAGGGAAAAAAACAAGGCCACCGACTCGACCTCGCTCGGCGACCTCCTGCCTACTTGGAGGCCCTTTTGACTTAGTAAGTAGGGTTAGTAAGGTGGGTTATGGGGATTATAATGGGGTTTCTAGGGGATACTAAGTAGACTTACTAAGTCAACAGGGCCTCCAAGTAAGCGTGCTGGCTTGCCGCAGAACCTTTTTCCCCCTTTGCGAGGTCGGTGGCAAGTGCCGTTAGCGCCGCGTGTCCCAGATGCATTTTGTTATGTGTCCTAGTAACGCTTTTGTTTAGTGGCGCTTTCAGCAACGCCCTGACAACAACTGACAGCAGCCAACAAGCAGACTGGAATGACCAAAACAAAAGATGGTGCACTACAAGTGCCCAGCCTCTCCAGTTGGATCAAACCCTCCCTGCTGCACGGCCATGGCTTGCACTTGCGCCTGCGACATTCGCAACTTCCCAGTTCGCATGCTCAGCGGAAGTCCCCGAGAGTGGGAGGAAACGGAAGGTGCACAAGCCATCACAAACGTGACAAGACATAACAGACTGGCGAGATTTTGGAGCACTGTCTGACTTTCGCCTCCTCACCACTTCCTTCAGCATCTTCTTCCTTACATGCATCGCTGTAGGCAATGTGCACACTACAGCCATCGCTCCAGTGCCTGCTGCTGCGAAGTGGTTGTGGCATCGTCGTCCTGTGTCAGCGTCATCGCTTCTCAGCAATGCAAACCCTCAGGCATCAACAGCTGATCAGACACTGAGAAATATAGGGGCTGTAATACTAAAAAAGGACTTTGGGGTGTGTTGTTGTGTATTCCCTGAGGTACACAATCATGTTACTAATCGGCCCTCCTCTGTGACAATCGCCGTCTTGTCGTCCATGTTGCTTGGCCGTAGCAGGCTTAAGTCAAGTTAGGTCTAAGACCCGGCAACAAGCCGCGAACCAACTCAACCTGAAGCGCAAAAGAACATTCAGTCACTCCAGTGCAGGACAGGTCCGTCACCACGAGCTTCATCAAGGGATTCACACACGGTTTCAAGGCTAGTTTCCAAGGCTTAATGGGCTTCATGGTTCACTCATCTCGAGCCCCAGGCTAGGAGTCCCATATGAAAGCATTCTAGGGATTCCCGCCTGATGCGCTTCAAAGGCATAAATGCTTGATCCCTGCATGCGGATGCTTAGGGAAAACCTTCAAAACCCCAACTCACTGAACCCTTCAAGGAACAGACTCCGCTAGATTTGAAGACTCAGCTCCAAATACATTGCAAGCTCAAGAACCCGAACAACGCACCGATCCACCCTCACGACCTCCTGCGACCCCTCAAAGGTTATGAACACTCCTGAAGAGCATCACTCTGTTCTGCAAGGGCGCCTGCCAAGCCGTGGTGTCATCCAAGTCTCCGGCCTGCTGCGACTGAGGAATGCGGTGCTGCAGAGTCTTAATGGTTTGGGTGCAAGCCTTCGTGGGTTGGGATGGGTTCAGGGTTGTGGACGTCCCCAGACCCCCGGAAGGATCCAAAAAACAGATCCCTTAGTTGGAGAACCATAAGGCAACTATATTTATAACTACTTGTCACCCCAACTAAGGTACTCATAACCTTACTTGCTATGTCCCGCGATCCTCCAAGTAGACCCTAAACCCTATAGATCCCTCTCAGGAACCCTATAAATCCACTTAAGGAGAGCATTAAGAGCCGTAGCTCCTCCAAGTATGGGGTTCCTACTTGGAGGGTCGGGGGACTTAGTAAGGGCTCCTTTAAAGGGGATTCTGGGGGTTCCTTTAAAGGGCTCTTTAGGGGTACTATAGGGTTTAAGGTTTAGGGGTTTAGGGACTTAGTAAGTAGGTAGTAAGTAGACTTATAAGTACCCGAAAAGGGACCCTAATTGGGGCTATGGTACTTATAAGTCCCGAAAATAACCAGTTACTAAGTCCCCCGACCCTCCCAGCAGGAGCCTCTGTGCAGCGAGGCACCTGGAGCCCGTGGAGTGGAAGCCTCGGTTTAGGCTTTAAAGGGAACTCCAGAAAGTTGGAATATGGTTTCACTGTAGGATACCCTATAATTTACCATAAAGGGCTTAGGAGAATCATATTCCAACTTTCTGGCTTTTACTGTAGGGCTTTATGAGGGTTCTCCTGTCGTGTTCAGCATTTAGGGCTTTAGGGCTTTATGGGGGTTTCTCTTTCGTGTTTAGTCTTTAGGGCTTTAGGGATTTAAGGTTTTAGGGTTTAGAGTGACCGTACCCTTTTCTCTGGAAGATTTTGGGAGCTGGCGCCTGGAACTGCTGTGCGGCTTCGCCGAACGGGAAAGACCAAGCAAGACATCGCTACTTCTGCCTAACCACTAAGGTCGTTTGCGCCTTAACTTGTGACATGTCGGAAGTGCCGTAGAAAGGCAGCACTACCATCTTGTTTCCACTTCTTCTCCGGTAGCGTTCCGTCTCTGCGGCACCCCACCCAAAGGCAAATCCTGTGCACGCAAACACGAAAACACCGAACGAAACGGGTGAGGGAGCCCGGTAGGTTGTGTTGCTCCTTTCTGAAGTTGCAGGGCCTTTGGGGTGCCAATTGCCTGATGGTTGGGTGCTTGGAAGTGTAATTACGGTGTGTAGGGCGAACCACACACTGGAATTGCATGTTCCGTTTCTAACCCTAAGCCCTAAACCTAGATTTCGCAGGGAAGGACCAGGGAAAACATATTCGACAAAAAGCGACCGGTGGTCCGTGTGGGAATTTTGTGCAACAGAGCAATTCAACTCCAAACCTTGAGTTTATTCCAAGAAGTATATAGTTGTAGAATACCGTTGTATATAACAGTATGTTCTAGCATATTATAATATATAGTTCTCTGAAGCTCCCATGTCAATCTGGGTATTGGAGAAATGCGAAGCCGGCTCAATTAACCTCCTTCTCTTTCTCCTTGCTTTCTTGCGGCTCGATGACCAAAACCTCCTCAGCAGACTTCTGCCAGTTCCGGATCTTCCGGGTTTAGGGTTTAGGGTTCAGGGTTTAGGGTTTCAGGGTTTAAGGTTTAGGGTTTAGGGTTCAAACTCTTAACCTTAAAGACCTTGAGGTTCGGCGTTTGATGGTCTCGGGTTTAGAGAGTTCACCACCGCATTATCGGATTGTGCGGGCATCGGTTGGGCCCGGTCGAAGAGTTCATGGCTCTGGGTTCTTGTTAAGGGTTTAAGTTAAGCTACTATAAAAAGGAGGCCATCTTATTTACTATAGAACCCTATTATGGTTAAAGTTAAGTTACTGTAAAAAGGAGGCCATCTCATTTACTATAGTTCTGGTTGCTTAAGTTAAATCCCTTAACAAAACCCCAACTACAGACCCAGAGACTCCACGCTACCTCAACCCAGGAAGATGCCCGACACAAGTCCTGACAATGACCCTGCAGTGATGCACCCCTTCCGGTATATACCTGATTTCGAGGAATATACCTTAACTCATTTATATACCTTAAACCAAGCTATATACCTTGACCTAAGGTTTATACCTTACTTCACGGTATTCGGGGGCCCTGGGAAATGATGATGGGACTACGACGAACTAGGAGCACTTACTAAACTTACCAAGTCCGCTGATATCGGAAGCATGCTTTCGGGAATAGGCCCAAAGCAACCCAGTTCGCTGAATGCTCAGAAAGCCCTTTATGGGTTAAGGCTTGGGGTTTAGAGCTCAGAAAGTGCGCCCTCCCTTCACGAGCTTCCAATCATTATCTTCATCCCTAAACCCTAAACCTTATGAATCGACCCACCACACTGCTTTTCACAGTAGTAGAATGTGATTATAAAAAGCTGCTACTGGGTTCCTGTTGAAGGACTTAGTTTATTCTAAGGAAACCATCTTGTTTGCTACAGATCCCTATTGTGGTAACTTAAACCTTAAACCCTACACCCTTGAAGGAGCCCTCATAGATCCCTTACAGGAACCATTAAACCCTTAGCAAGAACCCAGGGTAAGGGAGTGTCCACTATAGGGGCCTTGATAATTAGATTGGAATAGGGCTTGGGCCGAGTACAATATATTTATGAAAAGGAACCACCAAAATAGTATACGTTATTTATTTACTTATTCAGGCCCCCATATAAAGCCCTTGTAGGAATCCTCTTTATAGACCCCTTTCAAAGGAACCCCCATTCTAAATACTCAGGTCCCTATTCTACCTGAAGTTCGGTGTGGGCCATCAGAGCCGGCAAGCCCTTAACGTCGGAACCTATGGCCCTGCTGGGCCTAAACCGATAATCATAAGCCTGGAAACCGTTTTAACCTTAAGCCTTTCTAAATAATACCCGAAGCCCTGCAAAAAAAAACAACCAAGATCCTGAGCCCTAATCCCTAAACCAACAACCAAAGCCCATAATATAGGGGCCACCACCCTAAGCCCAAAGGGGTTTAGAGTTTAGGGCTCTGCAATCCCCAAGATGGGCTGAAATGTGGGCTTACTTGCTACTTGCTGGCATCCTTAAGTGAACCAGTAAACCTCGCATGAGAACACTCGCCAGAACCCAGTGGATAACCTTGCTCACATGCTGAACCATCGATTCTGAACCCCATATAGACCTGTGCAGACCGGACAGTGGAACAGAAAAATTGAAAGCTGATGGCCTTCTTTTTTGTACGCAGATAATCTCCTCTGCCCTAAACCCGTAAGACCGATAGCCGTACCATCAGTTCGAAAAAACCCGAGAATCATAAAACCTAAAACCCTGTGCAAAGTTTAAAAACCATATAGAAACCTTAACCAATTCCTTTGAGTAACAACTTTTAAAGAACACTTTAGGAGAATTAAACCCGCTTTCATGCACCGCAGCTCGTCCAAAACTTGCGCCTTGGCGATCACGACCTCTTTGAGGACCATGGTGTGCCTCGCATCTCTAAACGTGTGTGAGAAGCTCTGAGAATGATTCGCAAAGAATCTTTACAGGGTTTAGACGGTTGTCTAACACGGTTGTCTAAAGTTTCACGAAACATTCTAATACTCATACCTGCAATACCCAAACCTCTTACATGGATCCCAAAACTCCAAACCCGCTGAAGGAAAAGCCATCTTGAAGCACATACTAGTGGGTAGTGTTTCCGTGAACCGATGATTTAGATCCTTTAAGAGGATGGGTAGAGTTCCGACTGGCTCTTTTTTGGGGGTTGCATCGTTTCTACAATGGCGCGTTTGTGCAGTCTTATGTGGTTACCAGGTTTCAACAGCTTCCGCATTGTGCTACAAGGGCTCCTGTTTAGAGCTTGCGCTCGGGCTTGAATCCAAGGCTCAGGGTGTGGAGTCCGTGCACTCTCAAGCCTTGTCGGCCCAAAGTGCCTGCATTCCCAAGCCCAAACATGTCGAAACCCTAAACCCTAAAACCGTAAAACCCTAAACCCTAAAATCCTAAAACCCTAAACCCTAAAATCCTAAAACCCTAAACGCTAAAACCCTAAACCCTAAGACCCAAAAACCCTAAACCCTAAAACCCTTAACCCTAAAACCCTTAACCCTAAACCCTCAAATTCTAAAACCCTAAACCCTAAAACCCTAAACCCTAAACCCCTAACCCTTAAACCCTAAACCCTAAAACCCTAAAGCCCTAAAACCCTATAACCCTAAACCCTAAACTGTAACCCCGTGTTGTAGTGGCGCCTGCATCCTCGCAGTCGGCCGGTCGCAGGCGGACGCTGCAGGGTGGACTCTGGGCCAAGGGCAAAGATTACCTGTAAATTTGTCTTGCAGTTCTTGATATATTGTATAAAAAATTGTATGCTACGTATATAGTCATATGAAATACATCACATAGTACATATTATATGGTTTTTGCTTGTGAAGGCTCTGGCAATATCGCAATATCTTCATGGTTGGTCCGCACCCCTCGGCCTTTTGATGTTTTG